TCAACACGGACTTATCTTGATATGCCATCTGAGAATTTATGACTGATAATATTCACCGATCAGCAAATGAAAAGAACTGACTTCATTTTGTCGATTGAGTGTTTTCATCGATTGCTTTAGCCGTGGACTGGTCATCGTTCTGTAAAAAAGCATTACGGGTAGTAGAGTGTATAAATTATTAGGCGGAAATGGGATCTACTTATGTAAGTTGTCATCAAATTCGTGCTGATCAGGTATGAAGGATCAAAATGATATGTGTGATGTTGGTAACGAAGTGAAATAAAACATATGTGAATGTTCGAAAGCTTTAGTCGTACTCGGTGTTTGTCAGGCCTCTCAATTTTACCAACTCCTACGGATCTTTCTTCGATTCTATCACTTGGTAGCTTATCAGTCGGCCCCGAATTGTTCATCTTCTCTGATTGAGACGTTTGCGTGGCTTCATCTGATTATTGATTTGTTCAGCTGTTAAAATGACAAATAACCCAAAAATGTAAATTTAAAAAAAAAACGAATGTAAAACATATTTTTCATAACGACTGTGCGTATGAAGTTTTCGTGTGATGCACGAACGGAATACGCTGAAGTTGATGAAATTCAAGAAGGAGCGAACTTCGTGTCGTTCTCGAGTGTTCATAACCCAATTCAGCCACCTCAGAAATAAGTGGATGCAATAGCATTCAATATCTCCGATGGATGCAATGGATGCAATAGCATTCAATATCAAAACAATTTGAATCCAGCTGAGAAACAACGACTCGCACTGACCTGTTTTATCTCGTGTTGATTTACATGCGCTTGATGAATGAGACTGCATGTATTGGTCATATACCTCTCTGCTAAACTATTATTTGTTAATTCAGAACATATCATAAATCTTCTACTGAAGATATCTGGCTCGAGTAGAGTCATCTATGAATACATCACAACGATGGTGATTTCCATGAACACAAAGCGTAACAGTTAAATCAGCGTAACAACGTAACACTTAAATCTATCACTCGCAATGTCGAATCGATTTCAATCTGTATAACATGTTTTATAGTGGCAAATTTTGATGTATTCCGTTTGGTGTTCGAATTCGTGAAAGTGAAAAGAATGTTTACAATTGATTTGAAAGTCTCTCGACTCGTCGTGCCCTTCTTTCACGTATTTTATCATTTTGATTTTGTAAGTATAACATCAGCTTATCCAAGAGAAGTAGACGCGGTGCGCCAATCTGCTTGTCACTATCGTTCTCCAAGCTAGCTGCTACAAAATGATCATTTACATTTATCAACAACTGTCACTGTTATGTTTTCAACAGCGATTCGGAAGAAGGAAATGAAGCAAAATATCAGTGATACGCACGTGAATCATTAGGACTTGTCGCTTGCGAATTATCACGATGAACGAGTGGACCTTGTCCTTCACCCATAGTTGTCGTTCCATAACATCCATTAGAGGGTAATAATGAAAGTAAGACCACCGAAACATACTGCAATGTGAACGCATCATCATTTTAACTGATCACTGAATTCACTCAGAGAGAAACCTTGAATGTGCAATAATTAGAGCTCTAAAAGACTACTTCAAATGCTTTCTCTGGAGCTTTTTTTCAATGAAGCAGTGCAACGTGCACTGACGACAAATAGAAGATTCGTGAGTGGGATGATTTGGTGGTGAAGGTGCAAAGTGCAAATTGCTGCCCTGAATAACACAAATAGCGGACTTGGATGCGCATGAATTACATTTAGGAGCTATTTCCTTTCATCGGCAACCGCTTTGATTCATATGAAGTTTTAGACAACGATTAAGCTCGAGCCTGTGGCAATCTCAGCCCATTGGAAAGCATTTTGGGGAGTGATGCTTCCAATTACGTTGATTCTCGGTAATTTTTAACNTTTATGGAATTATGATATCTATCAACTGAATTGTCCATTATACCTGCCAAAATACAACTGATAATACGAAGTATGATCTCCAAACTGCATTATCGCAGCTAAAGTCGAATAAATCAAGCGTAACAAAAAACAAACAGCAGGTGCCTGACACAATTTGTAACCAGCCGAATAACATAACAGCATCTGAAAAACAAGCAGAGTTCGAAAAATGAATTGCATGCTGAACAAGCTACACTAAAGATGTGGTGAAGCATCGATTTCTCATACTACCATTCATATGCTGACAGTTTTATATTTTTAAATTGGTCTCAGCTCTTCGCAAAAAATTCCCAGAAAACAACTTAAATGATGGTCAGTCGAAAAAGTGCAATGACATTCCATTCTACTTGTTTGAAATATCCATCGCGTAGAGAGAATCATCGCATTAGACAGCTTCGGCAAAGGCATGAATTGCTTATAACAAGACAGTATTTGATCAAATCTTCTAACCATATTCTTACATTCATGAATTTGTTGAGTCAAATTTTTTTGTTGATTGAAATGCGGTCAAACCACAGAGATTGCACTGCATTTGAAAATTCAAAAGAGAAATGTTTTACCGATATTGAAAAGGTAAATACGAAAGTAATTATCGTCTATCAAGCAAGCATTCAAATATGCGAATGGCTCACAATCATCGTCAATAAAAAGTTGACGTGCAGTTGGAATGACAGCGATGAGTAGAAGTGATGCTATGAGAAAAAATGGCCAAACACTGTGTTGTCCGACGGCTCCCGCACTGACTCCGGCAATCACATAGACGAGCATCAGAGATATCTGAAGAGAAGGTGGTTACTGATCGCTCTGAGGCATTATATCGCTATGATGCATTCGCACACAGCTCTCAATCACTTTTGAATATTACGAACGATTAACCTGTACGAAAATAATTATATCAAAAGCTCTCCAATCAGCCATCTCAGAACGTTCATTTTTGTAAAGCTCCTTCAGCGATTCGATACGTTTGCTCACCGAAAACGTTCCACTTCTTGTAGCACTGTTGCTACCTTAATGCAAAGCGTCATCAACNCAACAAATACTACCGACTTTCATAAATACTACTCATGCCGACACTTGCTCGTTTGAAGCAATCAGATGAAATCGCACAGAATGACTGACACAAATTTCAAGAAACGAAAATTAATTTTAGATCATCGCAATTCGAAGATGTGTAATTAGCGATGAGGTCCCAGTCGCAATATAACTAGCTATTCCTTTACTAATAAACTGGTAAACATTGGAGGGAATGGAAGAGTAATCCTTATTGAATGTCAACAATTGCGCTTTTAATATCAGGAGATGTTGGGAGGATTACTTGAAGATGGTGCTAAATAATTAATTAATCTGTTGGGAAATTGCGTTGCCGTGAGGAATTGGGAGAAAAACTATTGGGAAACGGCAGAATGAAATTACGTTTTGAGAGATGCCGTCTACGCCCATTTTCATGAAAGGATCCCATTGTGAAACGGAGCACGATCAGAAGTGGACCGCTCAACAAAGCGAAACCAAATGTGAAATATTGCGAAAACAAATGTGAAATCAATTAGTTGATTTATCAGCAAATTCGGGCGAAGTTGAAGTCAAGAACCTCCGAACGACGAAATTCGCATTAACTCAATGTGGCCATATGAAAATTTCATTGAACTGATAAAATACTCTGATTGCGTTCATCGCAACCTGCTGATACCTTTACTATTCCAAGACAACAACGTACAAATTTGCAAAGCGATTAATTTAGAGACGTGCAATTCAATGAATGCATAACTAGGAAACATTATCACATTATATCATTGCTGGAAAATTCGGCACTTTTTACTATGTGGGGGGGGGGAGAAGGGTCGCATGCGAGCACGCTTGCGTGCATTATGAAAGACGGTTTCGCATAGAGCGAGGCCATGCGCGCAGTAGGCGTGCTCAGGAAAACTCATTGTCAGGAAAATTTTTCAGGCAAATTTAAGTAATTGCGAGCACGCAAGTACTTGCGTGCCACCCNCCCACCCCGCCCAAGTAAAAAAGTGTCGAAAATTCACTCCTCTAGATCTCCGTTGAAAACGTTGATGCTTGAGCTTGTATCAGAAAATTCGTAGCGAACTTCAACTCATATTCAACAACAGGCATTGGAGGGGTGGCAGAGTGATCGTTATGCACTAGTTATGGTTAAATCTATGGTGCGTGAATATCAATGTGGTGAGTTGTGAATGAGTCAACAATGATAAGCACTAGCCTAAGTGTAAATCTGAAAGTTGACAAAATTTTGAACGCGAGCACATTCGAGCACAAAGGTGTTAGATGTGCACTGTTACAACCCTAAGAGATATATCAAAAATTGTCTAATTCTACACATTACTCCTGGCATCAACCTCAAGCCATTGTTGCTGAACCATACTGTTTCCTTCATCAACTTCGTAAGATGTGTAAATGATTGCGACGAACTTGAATCCGATGATCGCTTAACAAACAAACACATCTACGAGTGTATTTGATAAGTACTGACTAGAATAGTCTGCAATTCTGCAACGCTGTTATCGCAAGTAAACGATCCAGATTTGATGAGTGTTAACGATTGTGAAATTATGATAAATCTATAGTACGTATTCACTCAATTAAACAATTACAACGCCGTTTACGAACAATGTTGCAAATATTTATTTCAAATTGGCGAATGCAAAAATAATAAATGGCGAAATGATGACGAGATTCTTGAAGAAGTGGCTACTGATCGATGAGTGCAAATTGAGCCGTTACACACTTCGTGCATGACCCTTCTTCTTCTTTCGTCGGAATTTTCGTTTTATTGTCGTAGAGTTTGATTCTGAAATGAATATAGTTTGCATGAGGTGCGATAAACGTTGACTACTCAATCACATGAACAAATGAGTGAAGCAACTTTAGTGGTAGCACATTCAATTACTCTTACCGATAACTTGGATTATACTTGACCAAACAACTTCGAGCGAATACTCGACTTTCGTCCCTTTCTATTTCATCGTTACTCAACATTTTTTATTTGATTGTCAGTACAATCATTCATTTATTGAAAAACTCCTCCTTGTGTTTTATGACAGAAAACATTTGTAACTAGTTCAAGTGAATCCACTCACCGTTACATAACTTGCTTATTTTGTTTCTACATGACTCCCAAATCCCGAATCCAGCTTTCCATGGACATGAGCATGCTTCAACTGCAGGACAGAATACTGCTTCTGAAAAATAGCCATTCAAAATAGACCTATTCAAGGTCTTCATGTGACTGTAAGTAATTTAATAGCTATTTCAGGTATTTATTGATTTGGTTATCACAACAAAGTTTAAGTCATATATCGGATTATTTTTTCTTCCTTTAGTTAACTTGTAATAAATAAGATTATCTTCAATCACAAAAACGTACTGTCAGCGAAACAAAATAGACAATGCGGATAGAAACTTTCGGCGATACACACTGAGCATCGCGCATAGCGGCACTGCAGTCTATCCGCTTCTGTTGAATACTTCTTGTGGCAGCGACGATAGTAGTTAAATCCTTTACAAGCACGTGCTTAAACTAGCAGATAATTTATCTCTCCGATGGATGAATGCATTACACTTATCATGTTCCTCTTTCAAAATTATAATTTTTCAAACGGATTTGAATTTACCGAATCGATTGCAGTAAATTTGGAATAATTTACTCGTGAGCTGTTTCCAAAGGGTAAACGTTCATCATAATTACTTTAAAAATCGTTATTTTCTTCCCGTACTTGAAAGTACGATGACCGGAAGAGTTAATCGGTAAATAGTATGTACGAAGGTGCTCTCTTATTATTTTGTTCCTAGAAATTTGAGTTTATGAGAATATTTTCGTTTTGTGGTGTCGCCAAACCGTCGTATCATTACCAAAGACAACATTGAACGGTTGAAGACGTTCGATCCTTTGGATGAGAAAAAGGAATTGTTTGTTTGATCTTATCAAATGCTCATCAAAAATCAAACGACAACACATCGCTAAAGATCTTATCTTCGACTTCTTACGTATTCATGTTTATGCACAGTGCTCGTATTTCATTCAGAATTAGATCAGTTCAAATAAGCGAGCGCACAATATTCATGCATGCATCGTTACGAACGATGCATATTCATGCATGCATCGTTACGAACGATGCACCTCTTGACTTATTTCACTATCTATGTTGATCTGGGTCAATGTTGAGCATGGTCACGGTCAATGTATAAATTCAGAATTACGTGAAGGCTCCCGTATTTTGGTGCTATAGTTGAACAACTTTTGATGCTATTTTAGGAGTTTTGAGAAAGAAGGCGGTTCCCTTGGATGACACGGCCGAAGAAGCAGTGCGAATTCATGGTTGTTCAATTGAGATGAAATCTAATCACATCACCAGGCTAACGGCAAAACTGCAATTTGCAGCCATGCAAATTGCCATCATCATGGATTCAATTCAGTTTGAAGCTGAGCGGAACCTAGGATCAGTACGATTTTTTGCACTATTATGCAGTCATTGCGATAAAATAGTACATTTTGGGAAGCCTTTTGCAAGTGAGCCGCAAATTAGTTCACGTTGATTGAATGAACAATCCCTTCTCTCTGAAATCCATTGCTACGATTGTTGCAAAACTATTGTTGCATTATAATAGATCAAAATCAATGGTAATAGGGAAAAAATCAGGATATTATTTTGAACTACAAAAAGATTTCGGCGAACTTGCCACACCAACCAAACGTTGAACCATCCATACTCACTGGGAGTGTTCGTCGGGGAGCAGTTTTTCGCACGGGGGGACCCCGCGGGGAAAAAATAGACGGGGAGTATGCCCGCGAAAAAGTCGAGGAGCAAACTGCGCGTGGGGGGG